CGAGTACTTGGCAGCCGGACGAAAGATCCACAAACACAACACATATGGTCTACTGTACACTTAAACATCTGCTTTTCCATACAGAAACAGCACATACTGTAGACAGCTGTTGTTCACAAGTCTTGAATAATTTCTGCTGAATGACTTTCTGTTGAAGAGATAAATCTTTTTCTAAGACCATGCATTCAAGGACACAACCTTCCTCCATAGGCTGTGTGTACTGTGCTTGACTTTTACATCTGTTTAACCATAAAAATGTAAATGTTTTCAGGCAAAAAACACAGTTTGAACTCAAATCTGATGCAAATTTATTTTAAAAATACCCCATTCATAATCTGTGTTACTTTAACAATCAAGCCAGAAACTCTGCTTTTCCCCAATCTGTACTTTGTTGATTGAATGTCTCAAAAAGTAGCACGGAAATTTTTTTTGTTTTCTTTTTTGGTTGTGGGGAAATGACCACTATTTTGTCTTCCCAAGGACATGGACACAAAAAAGTGGGATTTTGTTTTTGTTTTGAGCTCGCCTCTTCACTTAACAAAGGATCACTCCTTTGTCAACAAAGGCAAGTCTCAAATGTTACCCAGTTTTAGCACAGTAACCTTTCACAGAGAATCAAAATCATAAGCTGTAACATCCCAAAAGCAGGTAATGTAATAATTACAAAAAAATGATCTGGCACACAAACAAATGATACTGGCAAATGATTAGGCTGATCTGAACCTACGGGAAATAAAACTATTGAGGTACTGGTCTAAAAATGGCGATGTCCTGAAAATCCTCAGTGCACTACTTCATTCAAAAAAGTGCAGTAGTTACTGAGGCAGGAAGTTCTTTGTTTGTAGAGTAAGCATCACACAGTCTATTACAGCTCTATTTGGTCAAATTGCTAGATTAAAAACAACAGAAATAGACAAGTCAGAGTTTATGTAAGCTCATTTTGTTCAGGAATTTGCTGACCAAAGAGAACACATCATTACACACTTGCATTTAAACTGATTTTCCAGGCTCACAGCACGGAGATGGAGACAACAAACACTTCTAATACTGTGAGATTAAATCAAACATCAGCGTCTCCTTTCAGCATCCTCACACCATGCTCTCATTTTCAGATACCAGGAAAAATGAAAAACAGGTAATGAAAGCTACCAGATCTGATCTGATATGCTGTAATATCCACAATGTGAAGTGAAAAGTATTACATTATTGTTATTGGCTCACATCCATGGACCAATAAGAGACTGGGCCTGCATTAGAGGCAGGGTTTGTCCCAGTGAGGAGCAGGCTGTCTGTCTGCCAGACACACCTGACGCTACTGCCAAATGACCTCTGGCCCAAATGACTGCTAACTGCAGCATGCATGCAAACACAAACACACACACACACACACACACACACACACACACACACACACACACACGTGTGAGAGAAAGGGAAGAAATTTAAAAGTATGTGCTATTCTTAAAAAATAAAACTACTAAAATGCTCCACCTAGGAGTGCTAGTGAAAAACATGGGTGTGTGTTGTTAAATGAAGTATGTGTGTGAGCATAACTTACTTTCTTTGATTTCAGTAGTATCAATTTGTAAAATCATGACATACTAGGGTTGGGTGTTTTCATTAACGCTCATTCCCAATTGCAATCCTCTACAGCTGTACAAACAATGGATCAGCCCGGAAGCTCATTCATCATTGCTGGTCTCCTGACAACATCCACACAATGGGGCCTCAAACACATGTTGTACAAAAACACATGTTCAATCAGCAGCTTAAATCTCATGTATATACATGTGATGCAAAACATGACACACCTTTAATACATTTCAATCATCTAAGAAGTGAGCTATGTCCAACACTGGTGTGTCCATTTCAGTATAAAATCCAGAAAGAGGCATGTTATTGTCCAACAGTCTTTTTACTGAGAGGACTGCGAAATGAGCTAAAGCTGCAGACAGTCGCTATCATTACTTCCACCATCACCCACTGCACACAGCCTGAAATGATTAAATGTTTGCCCTTATTCTTTGTGTCCTGCATAAAGCTGCTATGCCAGCAAAGCATGCTGGATACATAGTGATATGAACCAAGCTGGTAGGGCCCAATTTCTACCTCACTGTTATAAACACGCATTAAAAGACAACTCCGATATACTATCAGGTCAGTAAACTTTTTCAGAGTGCTGCTTTGATTGAAAGAACTCCTAAAATTAAGACAAGTGGTATCATGTTGAGGGTGAAAGACTTAACAATCATGTATTTATACAGTGTTCCAAGTTGTAAGTACCATAAATCTTAATCAACTGATAAATTGTGGTCATTTCATGGCTCTCCAATTGATAAACAGCCACACACAAAGTAGGCAGTGAAAATCGTGAAAGAGATTGGGCCATATTTTAATTTACTAAAGTATTGGACGACCTAGTAGCCAATGTCTGAGCACAGCTAAAGTTAGCAATAAAGTTTTAAATGACTTACCGTGACGTTACAAGAAGATGGCTGCTATGGGAATTTGGTTTATCGCTCATGGGCCGTGCCTCAGAAATATATCAGCGTTACCTTTGGCACAACTTCAAATACTTGTTCAGTAGTGTATTGATCACTGAAAATATACAACAACACGGCAGAGATTTCAACCCTCTTTGCCTGACTTTGACATGACACACACATTTTGGTGTTACTCATCATGAAAGTGACGATAGTTCTCTACCTTAGTTTCATAGCCGGCATGGCTGTCTGAAGAAAATATGTTTGCTATCTGCTTAAACAGGAAATAGGAAATTAAAGCACAGTTTTAGTTCTGTGTCCGTACACATTATTAAACCAACAATATTCTTAAAGTTTTTAGAAATATTTATAGTATGAATTTATGCTGCATTCGAGTTATCTCAGAAGTCAGAAGTCCGAGCTGGAAATGGCGTCACACCCTAGTTACCAGCGTTTCAGTTACAAAGTCGGAAGAAAGCAAAATCGGAAGCGGAAACAAGGTGGTATCTACCAAAGTTACTTTAGCGCTTGCCTTGTCCAAATATAAGCAAGGACAAGGGAAGGGCTAAAATAACTTTCGTAGATGAAGCCATCTTGTTTCCACCTTCGATTTTGTTTTTTTTCTGACTTGGCGCTGGTAACTCGGGTGTGATGTAATTTCAAGCCTGGACATCTGACCTCCAAGGTAACTCGAACACAGCATGAGTCTCCCTTAAGTGTGTCACCTGTGTATGTAACAGCTACCATCTAACAGAGTGACCCAGAGTCTTCTCTTATGAAATCCAGTACCTTCAAATAGATAAAAAAACAGGAACATTAAAGGGGTTGTGACTCTCTGGAGAAATACAATTTGCTTCTACAGGAGGCTTTCAATTAAAACCCTTAAAGCCTTCTGCAGGCGGGGGATAGTTGACAATTACAGATAGACCCACATACACACACAAGTACAATAAGGGGGGATTTAGAGAGACTGCTCAAGGGTCTTACATCAATAAAACCCATTCAAACCTCCAGCCTACATTTCAGAACAGAACTGATTTCCTCTAACACTCAGGACTACACAAAGAACATGTTCTTTATTGATCATTATTCAAATGTGTGTCTACAACCAGGATAATGGATGTACAATAACACACAGTATACACAAATACTTGCACTCGGCTTATATACATACACATATATTTTCTCTTCCTCTTTCTCACACAAACACAAACTAACACACACAACAACAGCAGATGAGCTCCTCGTCTGCCCATGTTGGCTATCAAGTAATGTATTCTGCTGCACACCTCTTGTATTTACCGAGCTCACTGTGTCTGGAATCTCCTCAGAGGTGAAAACGCTTCAGTGTCCCTGATGGCGACCAGCTGCACCCAGTGAAATGCTCACCACTATGACCAGACTACACACTGTTCGATAAAGACCAGAACAACACAATCAATAGGAGCATCAAGACATAGACCACGTTACAAATAACAAAAAAACTGTTGCAACATAGAGAGTGTATATTTATATATACATTATATTAATATATATATATATATACATTTGTTCACAGGAGTCGCCGAAACCAACAAAAGTTCCTTCAAGGGGCTTTAAAGGGATATTCCAGCGTAAAATTAATATAGGGTCAAACACCATAACACTAGCTACGTTTACATGGAGCCAAATATTCCGAATATAATCGGATTAGAAGCCCAATCGGAATGAAAATGCTCCATATAAACACCTCATTCGGAATAAACAGGCCCATTCCGAATGGAATTTCATTCCGATTCACAGGGGTAGAATATTCCTTTTCCCATTCCGATTAAAAGCAAAATCCTGTCATGTAAACGGTGAATCGGAAAGTTGTCAGGCTGGGTTCTGTCTGCGCATGCTCTGTCCTGATGTAAACAAGCAGTGACGTATGACTCACATGGAAACATGATGGCGGCTTCCAAGCAGAGCACGATGCACTGGTCTGCGTCGGAGATCACGTGATCAATCAATCAAGTGATGTTTGAAGGTATCACGTGTCTGTAAATAGCTGTTCCGATTGAATGCCGTGGCACATGTAAACACCAGATCAGAATAGATCGCTTCCATGTAAACAGTTCGCCTGGGAGCTTCAATCGGAATGATTATAATCCGAATGAGAAAAAAGTCTGCATGTAAACGTGGCTACTGAGTTAGACGCCCCCTCGAGAGATGAATGTTGCCGACCAAAACACCACTCTATAGGCACAAATAATGCTCAGAACAGCACCTAACTTCATCAATCATGTCTTCATCTTCATGATCATAAATGTTCTTCCTTGAGCTGCATCACCCCACTGTAATCTGTAATGGACTGGCCCGAGCTCTCCCTACAAACAAGCAGCTGCTGGAAGAGAGTAGGTGAGTTGTGTTTAATCTCTTTGCTAAAGAAATCAGGCAAAGCTTAAAAGATGTTTGATGGCTAGTGCTATGGCTGGGACCCTATATGTACTGTTGATGAAGTTAGTGCTGTTCTGAGCATTATTTGTGTCTATAGAGTGGCGTTTTGGTTGAGGTTTGTGTGTGGCTCCTCAGACCACTGTGTATTGCTATCCTGCGGCTGTTACTAAAGTTGGTATAACTAGAGAAGCAAGCGGTCAGCAACTTTCATCTCTCGAGGAGGTGTCTAACTCAGTGTTACGGTGTGTTTGACCCTAAATTAATTTTATGCCGGAATATCCCTCAAAATCATCCATCTATCCATCTTCTACTCCTTATCTAGCATCATGTAGACTGAGCAGTAAGCCAAAGCAGGGAAACCCAGACTTCCTTCTCCGTGGCCACTTTGTCCACCTCTTCCTGGGGGACCCTGAGGCGTTCCCGGGCCAGCTTAGAGACATAGATTAGAGACACATCTCCCCAGCATATCCTTGGTCTTCCATGAACACCTCACCAGTGAGACGTCTAGGAGACATCCTGACCAGATGTGGAGATATTCCTGTCTGTAGCTGTTTTCAGCCTGTACTGTCTTTCAGTTCAGCAGCTAACAAAGGGGGTGAACTGACTGAGACCCTCTATGTCCGGTTCACTTACTACTGAAAATTACTGAAACTTACTACCTTTTCATTAATGTATCTCTGAGCAACATTTAAAACAAATTTAGAAAAGGATGTATATTTGTCACCACTGTGGTTCCATAATATTGGACTGTTTTCAAATCAAGGCTGTCAGAATAACTTTTCAAATGTGATTTTGATGAGCTGAAGTCTGACAGGAGCCTCTTGGTTGAGGAAATTCTGAATATTTGAGGATGGGATCCTGCTGAAATTCACTGGATGCATCTCAAATGTTAACATGCAGAAATGATGAAACACTCTGTCAGCTGCAGACGAAAAAGTTTACATTTTGTTCTTCAGAGACTGAGAATCCCAGGACTTTAACATTTTGAGTACTCTCCAGTCCCCCTTTCCTTTCCTCCGATCAATTATCCAATTGCAGCGGTTAATTAGAAAGCAGTGTGAACCTCATGTTGTCTCAGCTGCCAATTAGGGAGGAGCTCAAGCATGGATGAGGGAACAGCATGGCGTGGTCAGAGCTCTCTGGGCTGTGTGATTAGTCAGCTTTCATTGCAGATGAAGAGGCAGCACCTCAGATGGGGTAGAGGGGAAAAGGGGACAAGTGGTTAGGTAAGCGCCCAACCAAAAGTTATGCAACACCCATCGATTGAAGAGTGTAAACATACAACAGAAGCCACTTACCCTGCCTGAAGTTTGTGTTCTGTCGGCTTGCTGTGCCCGTCTGGGGAACTCTGCCTCCTCTCCAGACAGCCCCAATGATTTAGAGGGTAAATGATCCGCGATGGAGGGGAGTTACTCAGGCAGGTTTGGTCCTTCCCTGATGCATCTGTTGCACAATGGATATAAAAAAAACTGCCTGCACTTTAATAAGCAAACTCGCTACTTCAAATGTCAGTCCCATCTCTGACAAGCAATCTGTGGGGTTTTGGGGTTACTCATTGATGAGTGTGGGCCTTACTGAACTTTAAAGAACCTTCCGCAGGGAAACCCTCCAGACAGTGAAATTAGGACTCTACTTTTGGCAAACTGTGGTGGCAAAGCGTCAAATTTAGATATTGTTTTAGTTCAGCTAATCTAATGGTGAAATTTGTATTTAATTTATGACTAAAGTCATTCTGGAAAATTTAGCTGACACTTACAGAGGTCTTTTTTTTCTTTTTCATCCATGGAGCGAGAAGACATTTACGGAAAAGGGTTGCTGGCTTTACCGCAACGGAAAATTGAAGTGATCCACAGGCGCGACGCACGACCAGAACCCTGACCTAGTCTGGGAAAAATGCTGCTTACATCCTAACATAGGAATGTCTTGATTATACAATTTTGGGTCAGTGTCAAGGAAATGATGTAGCAGAAGATGTTTCACATATCATGCTTAGTCTAACTTACAGAGATGTTTTTTCCCCCAATCACCGTCTTCTGTAGTGTGCATGCTTTTTGTGAAAAAGTATTGAAACACAGTGTTTGTGGGAGGAAATATAAGTGTTTTGTCTTTTTATTTTTTTTATTCAGACAGTAGATGCTCAACATTAGAGGATGGGAAATCCTGGGTGTAAAACACACACAGACAGACAAACACATTTGATCAAATTCACCTTAAAGCGCAAACATACGCCCACTCAACCTTTAACTTCCCAGAATCATCTGAGTCCTCTGCCAGCTGGACATGCTCACACACACACTCACTCACTCACTCACACACACAAAATGTGGAAAATGGAAAGACAGATGCAGTGTGTGGGGTTATAGAGGTGTACTGCATACATAAAAACATCACAGGTGTTGTTTCATAAGCTTTTTTTCCTCTTATTGCTGCAAAAACATAAAAACACACTCACACCCTTTTTCAAGGAATCGATGGCTAAACTGAAGAGCATTTATTTCACTTGTAGTGTTGTGAATATTTGTTCTCAAAAAAGTCCAGCCAGCACAACATAAACAGCAGACACTGCACGTCCTGGTTCTGATGTCAAACCTCCACAGCAGCTGTGTGTTTGCTGCTCGGTTACACAGACAACTAACTGTATCTACAGAACTGCTAACAGCATCTGCTGTAGTGCTCATTTTTGCTTTTGTCCACAATATACTGTCTGACTTCTGTTCTTTTTAGACATTTTACAACTTGTTTTTTTTCCCTCTCCTACCGTTTATACTATCCTGTCTTTTATGTTAAACCACAGACATGGAAAATGTTGCATAAAGTCACCCTCTAGTTTCAAAAGGACCAATAAAATATTCAGAGTCTGTGCATTTGAGCATCAAACTGCATTCTGTATGCTGGAATAGTGATCAGTGGTCTGAACATGCTTCATTTCAGCGCACACACACTCTTGGTATTGATGAAATGCAAACACACACACCACAGCCTCAGGCCATTCTGTGAGGCAGGTCCAAGCGGCGGGTCTCAGGGTTATTGGAATGTCATTTCACTTTTTTTGGAGGGGGATCAAATTTCCAATTCCTCTTGACCTCACTCTACTCTGCCTCCCTTCAGGCCCTGCAGCAAATGAACAGGGTCACCATGGTAGAACAGGCCTCGTCAGACGGCTGATCTGCCGCAGGCACCCTCACGGCACAGTTGATCTGATCTATGTTAGGCCAAAAATGCAATAAACAGCCCATCATCCCCTGATTAGCTCTATGTCTGTCATCTTAAAACAACACAGAGGGTTTAGGACATTTTGGAACATTTTCATCAACGGCTGGAGAGCTGTGTTTGGGTGAGAGAAAGTGGGAGATGAGTTTAGTTTTGGTAAATGGTGAGTCTCTCACCTCCGTGTTTTGTGTGAAACAGCCTCAGTTTTTTAACACCCTCTCATAGCGCCTCCATTCACACACTGACCCCTTTTTTCAAACCACTGCTGACAACCACATAACCCTGTAATTGAGGGGGACCAGGAGCAATCTGGAGACAATGGTCTCTGGGAGGCCTCCCTCAGATGCAACTCCGATATGTCCCGATCAGGTAATACACTCAGGGAGGACGTGTCGTCCCTGTTTATGCCTGTTGTTCTTGTTCCAACATCTCATTCACTTCCCCCTTTCAACCTGATAATCATATCTCTACCTATCTGAACCTGTGTTCAGTGTTGAGCCAGGAGGTTTCAGTACGCTCTAAATGTTCCTGAGTAAATGTGTCCCTGAGCTCTGGCCAGAGAGGGGGAGGAGAAAAAGGAGAGAGAGAGGGATAAAGGATGGTTGGAGTTCCAAATGACAAAAAAAACACATAATTTACAGTCGGTGGAATCAAAGCACCACGATGACCCCGAACGAATTCAAACACCTGGATAGTGTTATGTAGATTTTTATTCAAATATGGGGTTTATGTGTTTAATTTTTAGCTCATACCTTTATTTGATGCTGTGACAATCCCTATACGCTTTCTGATGCAATTAATACAGCATGCAGTCACAGACTAACATCACAGACAGAGACAGAGTTGTTTTATTTACCGTAACAAATGGATTTGACTAAGTTTCATTAGGTGCTGGCCGGGGCTCATTGCTGCCCTGCACTTGTACTTAGTGTGATGAATGTTCTGCTTTTAGCAGCTGCTGTTAGTCATCTATCAGCGCTGGTTCACCTTGACCTCTGTGTTGCATTTCACGCCACTGATCACTTTATCCTCCTTGACCTTCGTGAGCAGTGATTGAAAATTCAGCTGGTCTGTGTCCATTCACCGAGATGAAAACAGTCTTCAGGTCTTTGTCAACTGGAAGTAGGATTATTTTGGTGTTGAGTCAGGACCAACTATGACATATTTATCATAAACCTTTTGGACATCAACCACATACTCACTTATATCACATAGAGGTGCAGCAATTGTGTAAATAAGGGCCAATACTGTTACCCATGGGGAAAATAGTGATGCAATCGATAGTCAATCCATAAACCAGTGTTTTCTTTTAATTGCTATGCCTGTTTCAGTTGAGCTATGAAACTGTTGTTTGTTAGCTACGGTGGCTGACAAGGGCGGAGAATCTGAAATGGTCCGAACAATTTTCATGAAGTCAAAAGTGCTGCAAAAGCTTGAACGATCCAAACACAAAACCACACCCAAAAAGATGAGGCGAACGCAGAGCAAATGACATGACGTGATGCAAAAAGCAGAAACAGCTGCGTACACAGCAAATATGCCACAAAAACACAAATGAAGCAAAGTTTAAAGCAGAAAAGGCATTCAAGAGATAAACACAGCAAATCAAAAACTTCTTCACTTGAGTCCTGCAGGCCTGTAGGGGGCGGTAAGTCAAATGTGGTATTGGCAGGACCACACACTGATATATCTGTCATTAGATCACCCTGCCTTGAACGCAACTGGAGTGGAGTAATTCTGACAATCATGTCCTCATCCTCTGTGCCAAAACACAACTTAATAAACATAAATAAGATGTTGACAATCATTATCAAGAAAGGGTTTCTGATGGACAGAGAGCTATCATTAAGTAACAAGCATTAAGCTTAGGTCAGTTACCAATCTCAGTGTGGCCACCACTGCTATTAGCTAACCTGTGTCAGATGTATTGGGGTGTGTTGGTCTTTACTTCTCAACCACAGGAGCTTCAGGAGCGCCAAGATACTGAAGTTATCAGGCCTGGAGCATGAAGAACTTTGAGTTTAATAAATGTAGCTTGGAAGTTATTAAATGTTCAGTAAATTAATAATCCCAAAGTTGAAAAATATACATGAATCAATTCCTTTATTCATACTGCAGTTAAGAAATTAGAAAAAGAAGGATGTCAGGGACAGTGATCTGCCCATCTCCAGAGACCAGTGCAGGGCTTTAGTTGTAGCATCTGGATGCTAGCCTGTAATAACCCCCCGTAAAAACTGTTGTTCAGGACTGCGCGCAACATGCTTACTCGTGCTTCCTACCTACTCAGCTACCGTAATAACCGTTGTTCTAGTCTACACACAACGTTTTTGTTCTCATTCTTAAAAAAAGCTTTAATCGGGGACATTTCCGGGGACAGGTCATCCAATACGGGGACTGTCCCCAGAAATCGGGGATGTCTTGTCACCTTACCCTACAGGCCTGGAGAACCTCGACAAGAAAGTCCTTATTTGTGGCATTTTACAACACTAACAGTTGTGCTTTGCTTTAGTGTGTTTGACCAATGTCTGTCAGGAGGCTAAATATTAGCTGTTTCTGTTATTCTATCAGTACATCCCTAATAATTTTGCTTCTTTGTGCTGACGGAACAAAATTCTTCCTGTCCTGCAGTCTGTAAAATCCACTTTAAGAGCTAAATTTAAACAAAGGAATAGCACTGGAAGACTTCAAACTGTACAACACAAGATTCAGCAGTCAGATGCATAAATTTTCAGAGGAATTTCCAGTTCTGTCATTTTCTCAGTTTTGTAGACAACTTGACGAATAACCTAAAAATGTTACCAGGCACCACAGAAACATAAATGTTATTTTTGACACCAGTTTTAAGCCCAAACCAAAATGTTTAAACTGTGATGCATTCACAGACAAACACAGGCATACTCCTCTCTCAAGTTACTTAGTTCCCAAAACATTCCCTTGTCAATAACCTTGAAACTCATCCATCTATCACAAACTGTCTAGACTATGGTAATACTCCGGATTCTGGATTTGGCAATAAGTCCTTGGCGCATTTCCAACTTGTTCCTAAAGCAGCAGCCGGATTCTAATCGAGTAAAAAGTGAGGACAGCACAGAGGCCCCACTGAATCATTACATCCCACACTGAAAGGAGTTTACTGATGACTTTCTAAGTACATCTTTGTCTCATACTTAGACATTAGAACAGCCCATTTGAGATTGTGTTCTGTGTAAAACTATCTCATAAGCCATAATGGTCATTTATAGATTTAGACTGAGAACAGAGGATGATCATGACTTTGCCATTAGTGTCCTTGGCTTACAGAATAGCCTCAGTTTTTCAAAAACGCAGATCTGCAAAGACACTGTCGCCCTCTTTCATAAAAAGCAGCTCTTTCAGTTCAGTTTAGGTCGACAGTTTGTAACTTTTTTCTATTTGAACAACTCTATCTCTTCCATAATTTTACTTTCCCATTTCTTTTTATTGGATTCTTCTTATATGAATCATTAAAGCATGTGGTATTTCAATTTCACACATGCACCTTGTTCAGTCTTATGTCCTGCAATTTCATATGCTGTGAAACTTTATCCATCGCACTAATATTTCAATCAATCTTATAATCATATGTTAAGATACAATTCTTCACTGCTTTCACAGTTGAAAGTATCAGGACTGACAAACAGAAAGAATCAGAATCTGTCACCCCCTGTTGGCTGCAAATGTAAGCACCTCCTGACTCTAACACAAAAACAGTCTGAAACTGTAGATCAACACCCAAATACCTTATTGGTTCCACTCTGCGGCACATTAACCTACACTCACAGGTACACACACAAACACACACTCCTCGTCCACCACTCTCCAGAACATTTCATTGTGGTTAATCGACCTCTGGCCCACTAAGAGGATGATGAGAGGTATTAGAGGGGAGCAGAGAAATACCTGGGTGGACCAGGTCACTGGAACAACAGCACTCATATTGGAAAAGGTATTACCTTGTCCGCATGATTTAGGATATAGTTGTATAAGCCAAACTGCCTCTGTGGGAGGGGTTAGGGGGTCATATGCACATCAGTTCATTTGTGCTCATGTGCAATGACAAACTGACCCATCTGTACAGAAATTTAAAGGCACAGGCAACACACCCCTGCATGTTTTCTTTGTAGTTTAGGTAGAGCAGCACTTTAGGCTGTCAGTAAACTAGCCCTCCTCTTTTCTTCTCTTTTCTCCTCACTGGGTGTTCAGCTGTACAGCATGTGTTCATGTCATCTATTCGGGTCATCCCATTTTATTGCCTCTTATTTGATCATCAGTTCATCATCTATTGGTCTGTCTTTTGACTGAAAAACAGGTTAAAGGAAACATGAAATGAATTAAGTATGCAGCAATTTTGAATTTGGGAGCATGGAAAACATGTCCTTTCAGTATCTCTGGGTCAAGATGTTTCAAAGCCACTCACTTACAACCAAATTTCGACTAACAGACCACTCTGAAGTTATGAAATCACTCATCAAAACTGAGCATATTGATTTTATACAACTAAACGTATGTCAAACTTGTTTGTGATTTGTGGCTAATGTCAACAGAAATAGTACTACCAGGCTTTGCTTCTCCTTTTAAGAGTTTTTTCAGGCTCTATATTTCCACTCTGATACATTTGTAATAGCTTTACATGATTATCAGAACATTTCTCACAGTGGTGTATCAAAATATCATAATTTCAGCCTCCACCTGAAATGCTTTGTTTAAGCTGCTGTCTCTCCAAGTCCCCCCCCCCCCCCCCCCATCATTAGCTCATTGAGTCTTGTGTGATCTCAGGACAAACCATTTTGAGCAGTTTATATCCATTTTCTAGGATGATTACAACATACATTTACCTCCTGATTTAAAAAAATTAAATACATCTAGTATGGGGACACTAAACACTGTAACTTTACATTTTTGTTGTAAATGTGGAAAAGTATAATACCCATCCTTTAAGGTGAATGTCCACATGACAAACAGCCTCCATAGCTTAAGCCAAGACCATTGTACTGTACCAGACCTCTTTCTCCTTCATCCATTCCACGGCTACTAAAGCTGACATGAAATCTGGACCCACCTCTTGTCTCACAGGTGAGTGAGATATAGCCCCACATTCCTTAAATTACCCATTCCCAAACTTGAAAGAGCCTGCTGTACACTATTTTATAGCCTGGATTCCTCAAACTGCTCCCCATGCCCGTAGCATATCCTCTGGCTAGTAGCCAATGCATTAGCTCTCTCATAAAGGTCTACTTCAGCTTCTTTGTTTCTCAGCGGGAGTATTTAGAAAGTGTACTAAAAGCAAAAGTCTGAGTGTTTTCTGTGAAACAGAGAAAGGAGCACGAAGGGCATTCCCCGAGATAAAAAAGGGACTCAGCAGTGACCAAGTGTTAAGTGATGCCTGTCTCTCTTTCTTTCTTTCTCTGTGTCTGTCCCCCGCACAGGCTTTTAAGGGAACCCCGGCAATTCAAAGAGCTGTCCAATACTCTGTGTGTGTGTGTGTGTGTGTGTGTGTGTGTGTGTGTGTGTGTGTGTGTGTGTGTGTGTGTGTGTGTGTGTGTGTGTGTGTGTGTGTGTCAGGCTGGGTTATAACATACTTACAATTTAAGGTGGTAGAACCAACTGTTATCTTATTTGTTTTGATGCCATACTCCATTACATTTTCATCCATAATTGACCATGAACACAAATCATGGTTGACCCTTCTGTCCGATACAAAACCTGTTCTTGGTGTACTGAAATTTTTTTTACTGTTTTATGATAAATCTATTCTAATTTTGATGTTTGAAAAAGTTGTGATACGAACGTTGTAAAGGTTATGTAAGTTTAAAAACACACCTGGATGAACATCTTCCATATATTTACGAAAATCTGCAACAAGTTGGTGACATGACTGCATGTAAATGAGCACTCAGAAAAGCTGAGTGTCTTAGAAGTAAATGTGAGTAGAGGTTTACAACTTCATAAGAGATTGGGTAAGGAAATCGTCCAGCAGTTTCAGAACACCGTTCCTTTAAGAACTTGGGGATCTTATCATCTACGGGACCAAGTATCAAGAAAAGATTCAGAAAATCTGGAGAAAACTATGCACAAAAAAGACAAGGTCAAAAACTGATTCTGGATGACTATGATCTTTGGTAGCACTACAAAAAACAGACATGATTTTTATCTGTGATTACAGTTTGTCGCTGCATCCACAAATGTAGGTGTACCATGTGAAGAGAAAGACGTGTATACACATGATCAGAATCTTTAAGCCCAAGCTTGTTTAAGGTAAACCCTGGCAAAATAGAGAACTGCGCCATGGTCTGAAGAATCAGATTTGATATTTTTCTTTCTCCAGTTATTATACTTACAGTATTTTTCAAACAATAAGGTGTGCTTAAAATCCCTTTTTTTCTCAAAAATTGACAGTGCGCCTTATAATCTAGCTCGCCTTATGTATGATTACTAGTGCTTCCCGACCGCTTTTATGTGGTACAATGCGCTCAAAAGTCTGTCGAAATATGTAAGTACGACTTTGGTAAGCAACGGAGCCGCTCCGCACAATGGATATTCAGAACATTACGGTACGCTGTGTCACTACCTGATCGGCCCCATAACAGGACCCCTGAGCAGTCTACAAGACAGCCTGACTGTAATGTCTAAACTAGAAGTGCATTCATGTAAGGCATCCCAGGCCCGTAGTACAGGCTAGCAACAATAAATCAATCAATGTGCCAATGTGCCAATGCGCCTTACAATCCGATGCGCCTTATGTGTGAACATTGACACGTTAATATCCGGTGCGCCTTATCGCACTAAATTTTTATTTTTTATTTTTCCATTTTATTTTGTTGCTGATCTATTTTTTTCCTCCTGTTTATTTTATTAACAGTTCTACAAATTGTATAAGGTGGTACTATAAACATGTGCTGTAATATGAGTTGGGAGGGTTATGAAAAACAGTGAAACGGGATTTCAAGAAAGTAAAACACATTCTTTGTCCTCCTGAAGGCCAATCATTAGAGGTAATGCTACAAGTCATTCAAGGTTGTTTTTTTTCAGTTAATTGATGTTTGACTACTTTTTGATTGAGCTGCACTGAACAAAACTTTGTAGAAAAAGTTACAAATAGTGCTTAAACCAGTGACCAGAACACATGAAACTCCAAAGACATACTCATGGACATAAAAACAAGTGGATGGCCATGGTAGGCTCATGCCTCATGTGAATTTAAGGTAGAATTGAGAAATTTGGTCACAGCAACAGAAATACACATACGCAGCTACATTTTCCGTCCACATCTGAACCCTGATGTGAAGCTGTAGTGGGCTTAGAAGGTGGAGCAGTGGGTCCATTTCCCCCTTTAATTAATAACCACGTCTGTTATTATCAAAGCCACACTCTTCTTTAGCAGGGAGGAGAGAGGAAGTCCTGGCTCTGAACCTCATAAAAAAACAGAAAGGGTGGCGAAAGAGAAGTTTAAGGTCCACAGAAGAAGAGCAAAATACAGGAAGAATGAGCCGCAACAGCAGCCAGCCAACAATTTTTGCCACTATGTTGCTTTTTCTGTTGCTAATACATATGATGAAGGGGTTCATGCATCTGTTTGCAGTTAGTTTATGGGGCAAGCTGCACAGATTACACATCTTTCAAACTATACTTACATATTTCTTACATGTTTCCAGATGTGTTATTTTGGTCTATAAGTGCCTGTGGCGAGCGTGTCTGTGTGTTGTGGGGGGTAATGGGGTCTCAGGTCTAATAACAACATTGATACTGCTCTCACACAGGCCTCTGAAGTTGCCTCCACTCCATCAAGTCAGTGTGTGGTTGCCGGGCAACCGAGGGTCCAGTGTTCCCGAGCAGCGCTGTTTGTTCCCTACGAATGATCTGCCAGAGAGAGGGAAGATGGGCGGAGGTGAGGATGAGAGAAGGAAAGACACAAATTGGTAAATGGAAGACGCAGCCTCGAGGGGCCCTGAATCAATGCCTGAGCAAACAAAGCTCTGTCTGTCTCTGTGCTGCTGCCATCTTTCTCTCTGCTGGATAACACTTCTGCTGCACTGCCCCTTCTCGCTCCTTTTTGACCCTCTTTCATTGTCGTGTTGTCTCTACATTAATTTTTACTACTCATCATGCACTTTGTCAGCTCAATACCTCAAGTTTTTTCATTCAACAGCCCTTCATTTTCTCCTAAATCATTAAGCTAACCAACTTACCCTCCCAGGCTGTTGTCCTCCCATTTTTTCCAATTGTTCTTTATTTTCTGCTCCTGAGTCATTAATACAGTATGTCAAAACTTAAAAATCTCACTCCCCCTCACTGTGGGGCCTGTCAACAAGGGGAAAAAAGAAAAACTTTCCCTTGCGACTGTTACCTTGTTGTGGTAAAGGAGCTTGCATGCTTCTGTAAACCCTTAAGTGCTAGGCCATTGGGAGACAACTCCTGGCAGGTTTTACCAAATTGGAAGTGACTTATGAGGAATGGTCTTTCTAATTTTCATGTTTATATCATCAACTTTACATGATAATACCACTGTAATGACATGGTCACCACCTTGAAGTTTCAAGCAGCTTGGGGCTTTTTCATGTTGAGTTACTGATGAAGAATGGTCTTACCATTTTTCATGTTTATATCACCAACTTTACATCATTTGACTGCTCTAATGAGATGGCAGCCATCTTTTAAACAGCCACCATTGGAAAATTTTCTTGTTAAGTGACTCATAAAGACTGTTCATATCAATTTTCATGGCTATACCACTAATTTAACAAGTACATCACCTAATTGTTCCACTTAGGTGGCGGCCATCTTGAAAAATGGCCAGCATCTTGAAATTTCAAATGGCTGGGGCACCTTTCCAGTGAAGTGACCTGTGGAGAATGCTCATGCCAATTTTTATGCTTGTATCACCAAGATTCTCGATAAAAATTGAACTTGGCCGCTGCACTATCATGTTCTGTGTCTGTGATCAAAAGGAGGGGCTGAACAGGAAAAAATGGTTCTGCAAGATCTTGTGAAAGGTTTTTTGGAACCTTGCGGAAGTTTCTCAGGATCTACCTTGATGTTGATTTTTCCTCCATGTCCTCTTAATGGCTTTGTAGATTCAAGCCTGAAGTTATTTTTACACTTTTTTAAAGATGATGATCAATGTTGGCATCAACAACAAGCTGGGACCTCCAGACCTTTAGATGCACATGCAATGCAGGTGAGATGTAATGCTCTCTCATGCTACTAATTGTGAAAAAACAAACATTAGTAATCTGCAGTGATCCAGCATGTAGAGTCCACATGATCACAACAACAGTAGCTGCGTTTCCATTACATTTTTTCGCAAAATAAAAGCGATGTTTATCATATTTCGACAAAGTACAATTGCGATTTGCGGGTGTTTCCATTGAATGGTGTTCAGTGCATAAGCGAGCCGTCTGCCTCTCGCGAGCCGTGTTTGAATGGCCGTTGCCTAGCAACGAGGTAAACTTCCTGCCCTTACGAGCTCGTATTCCTTAAGCCTTTTTGCACACCAACATGGACGAGACACAAAACGTTTTGCGTTTTGGAGCAGATATTTCTGTGACCATTACTGCTGTTGCCGCTGCTGTCATCAGAAGACGAAAGCAGCGGGTGATAATTCAAAGGCAAAGCCCGTATGTATGGGAGCGGACACGGATGAGGGATTTCTGGGAGAGGATCGTTAATGAGGTATTCACAGACGAATTGTGGATTCAAAACTTCAGAAAATACAAATACAATTCAAAACTTCAGAAATAACTCCGTCTCCCCCCCCCCCGTCCACACATACCGCGTCATCTTTGCTTGAAATGAACTGATCACATGACCCACTCCGTCACGTCCGGTGACGGAGAATTGCAAGAATAGTGTTTCCATTACACTTTTGCGATAAACTTCTATATCGACACGTCTGAAAAACCACCTCATGAGAGCGTAAAAACTTTTTAGCGATATTTGAGAGGTTTTTCGAAATTTAGCTGTTTCCATTACCAGTTTTCTATTGCGATATTTAGGTTTTGCGCAAATCTATGGGTAATGGAAACGCAGCTAGCGTGTACTAAGGTACTAACAAAGTAGCAAGGAGTAGGGTTGATGTTGGCTGTGTGGCAAAATTTTTCGTTAAAGTGCGAAAAAGACGTTGCAGCTGAGTGCAAAACTTGTCGTGCACAAGTTTGTGCCAATATTGGATCAATATCGGTATCGGCCGATACTGAAGGCTACAATATCGGTATTATATCAGAAATAAAAAAATAGTATCGGGACACTCCTACACTAAATACCATAAACTGGTTAATTAATATTCAGATAACAGAGAAGGACCAGTGAGTTTGATCAGGGTAATAGAGTGACATAGGGTTTTTTTTTAGGTTGAGGTTTTGTAGCGACAGATAAAAGATGAAGATGATGGTCTTTTCAAGGTCCACAGCACACGATTATGTTGTTAAGCAGCCATTTATATCATTATTTCATTAGGACAGGACATTTACCATTCACTGTGTAAACCTTACCAGCTGGGAGCCCAACAAGTTTCTCAGTTCACAGCAAAGCAAAGGAAAGCAATGATATGACTTTAAAGGCAATATCTCTCATATGATGTGCACTGAAAGAAATTAAGTTAAGCTCTGCAGACTTTCACCAGCTGAACCAAAATAACTGTGGCTTGACCAAGTCATTCCACAGGCGGCAGGCAGGGCTGTGACAGCAACAATCAAAACAGATTAATATTGTGAAGCTCTGTGTGGAAAATATGGAGATAGAGACTTGGTTTTCCTTTTGAGGTCGGTGTGACTTCAGCACATGTCTTCATGACTTAGTATAAAACCCTGGATTCCACTTCCTAGAAAGCAATCATTTTGTTAAATGTTATGAAAGTATAAATAATGAGTTGATGGCAACTGACAGATTTTTCTTCCACTAAAGTTCAGACTAAATCACTCCGTTAAAATTGGTCCCAGAGGAGTCAGGTTCAAAGCAGACATTAAATGTAGTGTACCTTGTCTTTCTGCCAACTTTGGCTTACATCAGTGCCCAGTCTTAACCAGCCAGGGGGCCAGGACACACACAATCAGTGAAATCCACTTAAGGACACAATGTACCCAGCATGATCTCTTGTTCTCTTCTTCCGTGTTCACCCTTTCCCCCTTCCTTAACCTAATTATATCTGTCCTTATCCTTCTCTCTCCTCCCCTGCACTGCAGTGCTGGCGTTCTCACTGCCACTAATGACACGGTGTGATCGCCGCAGAGTCCCCAGCCAGCGAGCCGGGGTCACATATGTTCTATATCATCTCCTGAACACTTCCATATGGGAGCATGCCACCCTTGCCAAGACCTGACACAAACACTGTGCCCTTCTTCAGGAGAGACAGCGAGACGGACAGAGTGACAGAAACGGTTGAGTTAGAGACAAGAGGATAAACAATGAGAATAAAAAGGAAAATGTGAGGATTTAAACTGAGGAGGACGGGAAAAGACAGAGAGGAGAGGAGCAGCCAATTAGAAGGAAAACATGGAGAGTGTGAGTAAGCTGGAAAAAAACGCATACCAGCTCTACTTTTTCCTAGTCTGCCTGTTGACTTAAGCAGACAGAAGCCGTCACAAACAGGAAAGCCTAAAATGATGAAGCACCCTGCTGCCACAGCGTGTTTTTACTCCTACTGACTGCGATTGTTTCAGATTAAAGCTTGTTTCTGTCTTTGCTATCCAGGCCTAACAGAAATGCAGTTTAAATAATT